TAATTTTATGATTGATTAATAAAAAGTTTTATTAGCGGTAAGCTTAATTTCGTCATAATACCCCGATCTCCCTTATATTTTAAGAAATAACATATGATATTAATTATAGTCTATTTGAAAGATAATTTAATAATAATTAAGACAGTTTTCATAATTATTTTTAAAATTTTTAACTAGTTGCAACTTAAGTTGCAATTCTTTGAGTTATAACTATTTATGAATTTTTATATTAAAATAAATTTACAAGGAGTTGCAACTTACTGAGTTCAATTTCTTAATTATAATGTCTATCTTTAATAATAATTAAATCTGTTTTATAAAAATGAGAGATTTAAAGAAGTATGTTTAGATAAATGATGATTATATTGAAAATTGACTATTTTTATTATAATATTAATAAAAAATTAACAATTAATTTATTCTAAAAATATTTATAATCAATATACATAATATATATATATAATATAGAAATATAATTATATTGTTCTTTAATTATTCCTATATTTTAATACTTAGCTTTTAACTAATTTTTTCTTAAAGTTTCCTTTTGAAGTTTCTAGTTTAGAAGATTACACATATCATTATGAGCTAATAATCTATTATTTTATCTCTTTATTAATTGATTTGGTTAATTTTATAGATCATCTATGCAAATTATATATTATAAAATCTTGCAAATTAATTTTTATGATCTATATATTGATCATATTATAGATTACTTACTATATCACAATTTTTTATTTTCTTGAAAATCATTTGGATTATAATATATTATAATAAAAAAATAAATTTTTAAAAGTTTAGATTAATAGATATTATATGAAAGGTGATTAGTAAAAAAGGGAGAAGTCTAAAATTTTTGTTAATTTTTATTATTAAGCTAAATTTTGCACATGATTGAGATCAGCCAAGTGATCCAATAATATAAATTTAACCAAAATTTAGATTTTCTCCTTTTCTACTAACCACTTTTCATATAATCATCATAAAATTTAGAATTTAATTGGTTAATCAAAACCACTTTTTTGCTATAAGAATTCTTATATATGATTTTATTATAAAATTTAATTTATTATAAGGTAATTATATTATATCACATAAAATATCTTAATAAAATTATTTATTTTATTAAAAGTAATGTTTTTTTTAAATAAAATACAATTTTATCAAGTTTCATTAAGAGGAAATTGAATAATTCTATTTGTTAAATTTTTTTAATACTAAGGTTTTTTCTAGCAGATTCAATCATATAATTCAGCAAAAAAATTTAGTTTGAGTTACAAAATTTAATAAATATTTTATAATTTAGCATAATTTTAATATTAAGATCTTTCATTATATATTTAGTTATATTATTTAGCAAAATTTTAATTAGATTCAAAATTTAGTATAAAAATACAATAAATTGACTGTTTTCACTAATCAAATTAATTTATCTAATTTTTTTGAAAATTATTCTAAAGAAATAATAAAAATCATTATAAAAAGAATAATAAAAATTATCTTAAAGAAAAGGTATAAATTGTCCTTAAGAGACAATACAATTATTTTAAAAAGAAATAAATTATATGATATATTTATTTTAAAAAGATGATATAATCATTTAAAAGAAACAATACAATTGAATTATTTTAAGAAATGATAAAAATTATTTCAAAAGTAAATATTTATTTATTTTATTATTTTTAAAGAATCATTCTTTTAAAAAATAATCAAATATCATTCCTTTAGAATAATTTTATTATTATTCTTAAGAAATGATCAATTATTATTTCTTTTAAATGATACAATTCTTTATTTTTATAAGCTTTTATATAAAGAATTAAGTTTAAAGAAAAATATTTAAGTAATATATCATTAGAGTAAAAGATAATTTCTTCTTAATTTTTCTATTTTAGTATTATAATAGTCTGAAATATCATTGGTGATTTAATTATTAGTAAAGTAAATAGATTAATTCTATTAAAAGCAAGTCAAAAAATTTAAATCTACATGAGTACAGGCTTTGGAAAGTAAAATTTTGAGTTTGAATTTATAGTTCTATTGCTGTCATGATTATATCATAGATTTCTTTTATTTTCATTAGTATTTTTTAAAACATAACGCATAAATTTTTATAAGACTTAATAGAATCTTTAGAAAATACCTATAAAATTGGATGTTATGTGTGTGTCTAGGGATGTTAAATGTCCTAAAAGTTCCAATATATTTGCCAGTTCTAAAGAAGATTTTATTTTACTGGCATTATATTTTACTTTCTAATGATAATAATGTATTAATTGAATATTTATTAAAAATATATATTATTAACCTTAATTTTGAAACTTAGGACCCGGTCCCAAGGACTGGCGGTCACACGAAAATTGTCGATTTCATTCTAAAAGTTATTAATTTCTTTTTATCAAGAGTTACTTATTATAGATAAGCGATTAGACTGTCACGATTGTTTGAAATCTAATATTTAAAAGAATTTTTTATTTTATAAATTGATTAGAATCGATTAGAACTTTTACTAACTTAGTAAATATAATATTATTATATTAATGGTATAGCGTTGATTTGTTAAGTCAATCATCATCCCGAATTTTCTTTTGAGTATAGGAAACCTTTAAAAGAAACTAATTTTAATTTCTTCGTTACATCACGTGAAACGGATTATTAAGCCGACAACTTTTAATTTAGAATGAAGTCGATCACTTGACCCCACAAATTCCCAGAATTCCCTTATGATAAAAAGTATTAGTAATTCGGATAATTCGGATCTAATATGAAAAAAAAATTTTTCATCAGTTTTGTACAACGATGCTAAAAATTTTTATATAAACCTTAATATTCTCGGCAATTAAAAAACTTATTAAATTAATAATGTCAAAAGAACAAGCAGCCATAACGCTCGTTACGAGTTTGACACGTTCTTCTTCTTTTACACGTTCTCACCCTAAGGCGCTTAAGCCCTTTAATTCAGGTGAAATAAAAATTTTGTTGTTGGAGAACGTGAACCAGAGTGGTATAGATCTTCTGGCAAAAGAAGGCTATCAGGTAAATATGTAAAAGATAAGGGCAATTTTTTTTAGATAATTCAATTTTTCGCGTTTAATAGTTTTAATTCAATAATTATACATTTATACGCGATAACAGGTTGAAGTTCACAAAAAAGCACTTTCGGAAGAGGCTCTTATAGAGAAAATTCGTGATGCTCACGCGATTGGTATTCGTTCCAAAACTATGCTTACTAAAAAAGTTCTTCAAGAAGCCAGAAAGCTCTTGGTTATCGGATGTTTCTGTATTGGGACGAATCAAGTCGATCTCGAAACTGCTGCAAAGCAGGGTGTTGCAGTATTCAATTCTCCATTCAGCAATAGTAGAAGTGTTGCAGAATTAGTTATTGCAGAGATTATTGCATTGTCTAGACATTTAGGTGATCGTAATATAGAATTGCATAAAGGAATTTGGAACAAAGTTTCTTCACAATGCTATGAAATTCGTGGAAAGACTCTTGGTTAGTTTTATGCTTATCCTGCATATATAATTGTTTTTATCAAACCTTTAAAACGAAACTATAACCAATTTTACGAATCATTTTCTAGGTATTGTAGGTTACGGTCATATTGGATCACAATTATCAGTTCTTGCCGAAGCAATGGGAATGACAGTATATTTCCATGATATCATTCAGATTATGCCTTTAGGAACAGCTAAACAAGTTAATACGTTGTATGAACTGATGGAGCGTTCAGATTTTGTTACTTTGCATGTTCCTGAGACAGAAGAAACCAAAAATATGATTGGCGAGGAAGAGATTACACGTATGAAGAAAGGAAGCTATCTAATAAATGCTTCTCGTGGTAAAGTTGTCCAGATTCCTTCATTAATTAAAGCCTTACAGAGTGGTCATTTGTTGGGTGCTGCAATAGATGTATTTCCCAAGGAGCCAGCAGCCAACGGTCAAAATTTTAATAATGAACTGAATCCTTGGACATCTGACCTTTTGGCATGTAAAAATGTGATCTTGACACCTCATATTGGTTAGTTATTTTTATAATAAAAATCGACCTACATTAATTCATTACTTAAAATATTTTTTTAACTTCAAAAAAGGCGGCTCAACTGAGGAGGCACAATATATGATTGGCCTAGAAGTAGGAGCTGCGCTTGCGAAATACATAAGCAATGGTACTTCAATTGGTGCTGTCAACTTCCCAGAGATTGACCTTCGTGCTATTCAGGCTACAGAGAATTCGATACGTTTACTTTATTGCCATCACAATGTTCCCGGTGTACTTAAGGTAATTAATTAAATAAAAATTATTTCCCGGTGGTATCATTTATTGATAACATTGTTTTGTTTTATTTTGTTCTATAGGAAATCAATGAAATACTTGCTGATCACAATGTTGAGAAACAATATACAGATTCCCATGGCGAAATTGCTTATTTGATGGCTGATATTTCTGATGTGAACGAACAAGATATTAGAAAGATTTATGAAAGCGTGAGTTCGAACAGGGCGAACATTTTGACCAGAATTGTATATTAAATTTAGTTATAAAAAAGCATATTTATTGATTGTCAAGTGATATTCAACCAAATTTAAAGTAATAAAAATATTTATGAATTGCAAAATCTTACGTCGCACAGAACATACGGAAAATTTCGTAACCTTTTTTTAACCATGTATGCTGTCGAAATCAATTTATACCCACGAAATTTTATGGACGAAACTTTTTAAAATAAAAACTATCATCATTCTATCTAAGCACAATGTTCAGTCTTATATCCCAATATAACGTATGGATAAAAATTGGGAACTCAGTTAAGGAAGATCATAAGATAGTTCCCTTTAGAAATCCGATAAATTAATTTTGTAATTTATTTAAGCAACAGCTGAAAATTTGAAGGTAATATTTCCCTTATAAATCCGAACAAGATTTTGTGTCTTATTGTCAGAGCTGTAACCTTAACCAAATCGTTGGGTCGAGAGAAGCGATGAAATCCTGCTACGGAGAGAATAATAAAACAAAATGAAAAAAGCACTTGTTATTGAACGGAAAACACGATACGTAATGATCACCCTAGCTTTACCATTATAAGTAATAGGTTTGTCCATTATGTGCAAATCAATTAATAAATATAAATTTTGAATCGTAATTTATCATTTCATATATTAAATAAAGAATTTTTTAATATAAATGACAAAATCAGAAGTTACTGAGGATGATTGGATGGTATGGGATGTTATAAATTCTCGCGGACAAGTGAGTTTTTTTTTTTTTTTTTACTGACTACTTTCATTAATTAAAAAAAGAAAAAAAGAAACTGTTAATTTAAATTTTTGAATGTCTTAATAGGTTTTTGTTGATGAAATTAAAATTCATGAATTGATTCAAGAAACATTACCCGATACTTCATGGGAAGTATTTCAAGATATTTTACTCAATTTATATGAAGTTGTAAGTAATTGAATTTATTTTTATATCATTATAAATTTATTAATAATATATTTTCTTAAAACTTCTTGATATACAGGGGTTAATAAGAAAACGACAAACTCACGATGAAAGGTATATGTATCAAGCGCGTTCTAAAGAAATTGCGGCAAAGTAAGTCATTTTAAGCATTATTAAAATTCGGTTTTTTTAGGTCGTTTTTTTCGATTAATTGATTATTTATGATTTTAAAGACTTCAATCGCTCGAAAATCATGAATTTGAGGTTTACGAACTTATTGAGAATTCAGAACGCAAAGGTAATACTTCTTCTAAAAAACTAAATTGATCAAATAATTCAATGATTTTATTTAATATTCTCAGGTATCTCAAAAACTGACATTCAAAAGCAAACAAAATTGGTACAGTCTTTGGTAGAAGGTAGTTTGAAGAACATGCAAGAACAAAAATTAATCAAAGAAGTTAAACCAAAGGTAAACATGTATATGTGTATTTGTATATTTCATGAAGAGTCTTATTGAATTCAACGCGTTTTCCTCTCCAACATGGCTAGACTAAGAAGCTATATATGCTATTTGATACTAAACCTCACGATGAATCACTAAGTAGATTAATATATACTAACGGAGAACCGGATACATTTGTCGTGGAAACTTTAAAGTCAATATGTTACAATTTTATTTACCATAGAGTATGTACAAGAATTCTTTTGTTTTATCTTAATTAACTAATTTAATGGTTAATTTTATATGATTTTTATATTAAAGAGTTTTCCCAGGGGAATGGATGAAGATGCAATTTTTTATCCCAATTATACTGGATATGTAACCTTATCAAAGATTGTACAATGTGTGCAAGAAACAAAAGTCACAGAAATCGAAATTGAAGAGGCTGATATAAGACAGATTCTTGATGTGCTTATATTTGAAGGGAAAATTATAAAAAAATTCATGAGTAATATAGATCCAAATTTGATGGTAACAGACATTAATCGTCCTGATGCCCAATATGTTTATATAGCTAAAAAGGCTAGAAATATGAATAATGCTTGGACTCAAGCCCCATGTGGAAGATGTCCGGTGAGTATTAATTACTTTGCGTATGATTCTAGAATAATCAGGTTCTGAGATTTTTTTTTTTTATTAATAAAATTAGATCTTATTGCATTTTAATCTAATACATCAAAAATTAAATTCAATAAAATCTTAAATATGTTAAAAATTCCCGGAACCTGATCTTCCTAGTAATTATCACATATCATACACATTTTTATGTACTTTTTACAAAAAATAATTTCATTTCTTTAGTTTTTTGAAAATGAATGTACAGAAAATGGTGAAATATCTCCATCGACGTGTATATTCTTTCCTCAATGGCTGAACAAAGCTATTAATAAAATACAAAATGATGAACAGGATCATGGTAAAGGAAAAGAAACTCTTGATTGGTAAAATAATAATACGATTTATAACACAATAATTTCACGAGAAAGAATATTCAATTTCTTCTGCAACAATAAGGTTTTTTCATCGTAATAATTTTTTTCATTAGTAACCTTTACTGAAATTTAGAAAATAAGACAATTAATTATATTGTAAATTTATTAATAAAAAAAAAAAAAAAAAAAAAAAATATTCAATAGATTGATTGGATATAAGATGTAATATAATAAATAATAATATAAATATTTTTTTTCTTCTGGTTCTTGTTTTGGTTTTGTTTTTGTTTTGTTTTTGTTTTTTTTTTTTCTTTTTTTTTTTTGTTTATTTATACATTATTTTTTTCTTAATATGAAGTTACAAGGAACATTATCAATTTAAATGTAATCCACTATCATTTCTATTATCAATCTTCTTTGACCATGATTTCTCAAACCAATGAACATGACAATTAAATAATAAAATGTTTCATGAAGCATAATTAGTTTACTTTCACTAAAACTGATCCAATTCATTACCAATATTAATTTCACGTTTGTCAAAAAGTCTTTCCATTCCCCTTACGCTCGCTAAGCCCAAATCTCCAAAATATATAATTATCACTTTTAACCATCATAGCCCAACAATATATTATGATCCTTACCAAATACTAGTGATACTGAATTTAATGCACTTTTTTCACATTGATTAGATTGATTGTTGTTGGATTCTGTTGGTAACATATCATTTAACGTTTGTAATGATAAAGAAGATGACGATGATGACGGTGATGATAACAATGGCGGTACAGTAGAAGAATAACTCGTTTTTACTAAAGGAGACATTCCGAAATTTTCATCTTGCAAGGTCTTTACTTCTCCTGTGGATTGATTACTAACAAGAACAAGTGACTTTTGAGTTTGTGGCTTTTCTTTAACTACGCCCATACCCAACATTTCATTATTTCCTCCATTGCTCTTCTGACCAAGTTTATATGAACGAATTATTTCAGTCTCATATACACCACTTTGATTTGTGGTTTCAGGTGCACCATTATTTTCACCACCGCCCTGATCCAATAATGACTCGTCATCCTCACCATCATCATTTTCACCTTCAACATCTTCACCATCATCACCATCTTCGTCACTATCTACATCATTAGGACGCATCCTTAACCATTGCATCCTAGGCCCACTTCGACTCCTTTCATTTACTTTAAACCCAAAGATCTTTGGTTCATATATTCTTGTTTGATTATTTGGGAACAATTCCGGAAATTGTTGAAATAGGAGATGAGGAAAAGTTGTACCAAAATAAGCTCCTATAAAATAAAATTAAATAAAAAAAGGGTAAATAATTAAGGGTATTAAAATATAGTTTGATACAAAATAATTAATTACCTTACCATCAATATTTTGATATCTTGAACTAGGCGGTGTATATATGTCTAAACAATTTGGACAAAAGAGTTTTACGGTCTCTAAACCAGGAACATCGCTTTGTCCACAAGGAACAACTGCAGTTGAAAGACAGTATACTCTTGGACAATGTCCAAAATGGTTGCTTTCATATTTGTCCACCTATTAGTATAAATGGAAGAGGTAATTAATCAATTAGGTGATACATAAAATTTAAAAAGAATAATGAATATAATTGAATATTTTCCCTACCATTTGTTGTAATCCTTGACGCGTTAATATATAACGTTGATGTATCATACCATATAACACTTCTGCTGAATTTTCGACAAGAGATACGTCTGGTACTTTCAAACTTTCCTCCTCTAAAAAAAAAAAAATAGAGACCAGCATTAGAATTCATTAATTAAATTGATTATGATATCATTTACAATACAAAATTGCAAATAATATGTGATATACCCGATCGAAAATTAGAAAAGATGAATGCATATACCAATCGTTCTCCAAGTTAATAAACATAATCAGGCCGTACTTTTGCAATACTTACCAGGTTCAACATCCAATATCATCTCTAATGCTTCTTTATAAAACGGGACAGTCGAATTTAAGCCGGTTAAATTAAAATCATCCTCTATGAAATCTTCAGCTACTTCAGCAAAGTATTCGTGACCGGAAAGGGAACAGAACCATGAGATCCAAGTCATAGATTCTGTACCAGTATCGTTGGAAGTATCAGATTCTTGTTATTCGTAAAAAGTAGGTAACGATATTTTTTTCGAAATTAAGTATCAGTTTGAGATCTTAGATTTAATCTAAATATCCATCAACCATAGGTTCATAATAACTCTGGATTTTAAGAGTACATCTAAGAGATCTAGTCGAACTCGCGTCTTAACTCTTCATTCATAATTTATAATTAACGCATATATCTAATCTAAAACCATTCATTTTCTTTCGATGAACAGATTGAAATGGGATCAATCATAAGTTTCGATTCAAAAGGTCTCTAAACTTTTTAACATTAAATTGAACTAATTTACTCGAATCAAAATTTAACTAATGCGGGGTAAGCATATAAATTAATTTACATAAAAAATACGTCGTTTGCCAAGGCAGAAACTCGGTAGCATTTTTCTCTCAGTAATGTACGAATTCAATATATATGAATATATAAAAGAAAAAAAAAACTCACCATAAAATTCCCCTTGATATGGTCCACCACTTTCTTGAACAAGTTCTTCCTCTTCTTCTTCCTCGTCCTCCTCTTGATGCTGAATATTTTGCTCATTAATTTGATCGTGAGTGGACGAAGTTGAACCAGCTTGAACCGAAACTGTTGTTGAATTCCACATTTTTGTTAATTCCTGTAATGCTGAATTTTCGTTCTAGATTGTAAATATTTATTAGGTTCTGACTACATGTAATTTATCTTAACAAAAGTGCTTAGCTCTTAATATTATGTTCTTGAACAACGACAAATTCAAGGCGAAATTTCACCAAAAAAAAATTTTTTTCCTTTTTTTTTAAAAAAAACGCAGTTTAATGTCACTATCTACGGAGAATTTATAAATATACTAAAATGTTGATGTATTACAGTTAATGCAGTTTGTTAAACGATCTCAAGGAGACGGGTTTGGATCGCGATCCGATCACATGACGGATCTGAAGGTCCATCACGATAACAAAATAACAAAGTTTTCTTTGCATTAAATACAAATTATCGTACAAAAAATTTGTTATATTTTATAATCGTCTAAAGCTCATTTTGAGGAGAAGGTTTTATACATCAGCTCCCCAAAGAATCACATTATATGATAAATGGGAAAAGCAAAAGCAAAATGGGAACCTTTATTAGCAGTTTATAAACAAAATTTTCAAATGTTAACCAGAATGTTATTCATCCAGAATAATTTGCAATTCTTTAACAAAACGTTTGTAATTCTTCGATCGATGTGTCAAATTGGTTTTCTATCGGTACATACACCTAAATTTCCACTTATACAAGAATGGTGTTTTCGTCACATGATTTTTTTTAATAACGGAATATAATTAAATTTCTTTTGGTAAACGCATTTAATTTCGATTAAATTTAATTAAACAATAAATATTTAAAAAAGAACGGTTTAGTCGCATTATCAATTATCATTAACATCCCTATTTGTGTCACTATCGAAAAATTTTATTGACGCTCATTTTCATTTGAGGATCAAAGATGAGTTTCGTTCAAGAACGAGTTCGAAAAATACAGGAAGACTTAGATAATCTCTTTCAGTCTTTGGACTCTAAATTTGTTAATGAAAATGTTGTCCAACGTCTTCGGCGTTCAAGTATAGATTCTGCAAGAGCCCAAACTTCCTCCGCTTACATCGTTAGTACAGATATTAATATTGGACGCGCAGAAGTTTTAAGGAAGGCAATTTACTCTATCCAACTTGATAAGGGTAACATTCCAAAAATGAATGTAATTTTGAATCAATTGGATATGGTTGAAAAAAGCCTTCATGGAAATTATAAGAGTGCTACGAGTGAAGTGCCACCATTATGGGAAAATGAGGAAAACGAGGAATTAGAAAGAGTAATTTCCTATTTAGAATGTTTGTTTCTTTCAAAAGTGACCATATCTATATACGGAAAAATGTTGGAAAGTTTTTTGGTATCGACTCTTCCATTACTGGATGAAATTTATTATTGGAGAGAATTGGAAGATAACAGATTTTGGAGCTGGATTCATCTTATTCAAAGTGACTTTGATTTATTTTTTTAATTTCTATGGTGCTGGTAACTAAGAGGTTTCTAAAGGGTAAAAAGATAACCCTATGGAAACTTCTATTAATAAACCTGGAAATGGCAAAATGGTTTCGGGGAACAATCCCCCTATCTCTTACACCTCATATTATTACCCGCTATTCATATACAACATATATAACGTATTAGAAAAATATATAAAGTTTAGACGTTTTGCCAAATCCAAATAGGTTTAGACAAGCCACCTTAAGTGTACTGAAATTGTTTGCTTAATTGGATTTTAACATTAATTCATCTTTTTTTTTTTTTTAGCTATTCCTTCACGCGTATATTCTTTATCAGGAACTATTTTCAACACAATTCGTCGACAATATCAAAATGTTCCATCAGATAATCCTCTATCTGTGAGGCAATTATTTTCCTTAGATGGTATGATCAACCTTTTCCCTAGATATATGCATACGCGTTTTTTGATGGTTCGATCCTATTCTATTTCATCTTTGGTCCGATACGAAATCCGTTATAAGAAATTAATGCTTGTCTCTCTCATGGAGTATCAAGCAGCATGTCTCGGGTTATTAATAAACGAAGGGTTGGATTTCAAAAAAATAACAAAGGAGATAGACGAAATGACCAGCGAAGGACAAATGAATGTTAAATTTGGTGATGTTATTGCAAAACAATTACTTAATTGTGTTTTATACATAGAAAGAATTTTAAATCAAGCTACAAAAATCGATATTGAAAAAGGGGATATGCCAAACGTCAATATCCTTTTTGGTGAGAAATGTTGATATTATAAAGTTATTGTTGTAAAGTTATAATTGATATTTATTCAAAAATAATGATCCAACAACATACAGATAATATGAGTTTTACGGATTCACCGTCATCTTTGTTGGCCCTTTATACCAATTTGCGCTCCATTATTAGCACACACCTTCCTCATTATGATGAACATTCTAATCGGATTATTTCGATTTATGGTCGCCCATCATCCTTGACTCGATGGTGGCTACCTATTACCATCTCTACCGTTGTAGTTTATAAAACAAGAAATCATTTATATGAGGTTGGTAACGATATGTCCCATAATGTGGTTCTATAATCAGCGTTATTTTTCAGAATCCGAATGATTTTCGAAAGCTGTCAAGCCAAAGTATATCTTTTCGTTATCGACTTTGATAGACTGCATGATCATATATAATACAGGTTGTTACCGATTTGACAAAGTTTATAGAAAATGAAAACAAGCATCATTGTTTTGGATTGCTATGAAAATTTCAAATTTCTGGAAATGATGATGTTTAGATTATTGTATATTTTATATGAATTATTTATATTTAACAATGTGATATTACTACTATTCAGAAACAATGGATTGATGAAGTTAAATCTACGATCGTTAATTTTTGGAGCGATTGGATTTGGGAACCTATTATAAGAATGATGGAAACAATTCGTCACAGAGAGCGGAGATTGGTAATCATGGGAAAAGATAGCTTGAATTCTGATTTAGAGGTTGGTTTAGACTTCAACAGACTATTTAAGTTCGTGTGATTTATATAAAAAATTAATGGAAAGTTATATTAATATTCAAGTCTCTCGAACGAATGGTATTAGACTTTGAACTTGGTCGACATTTACTTAATGATAAGGAAATGATTAATTTGTCTAACCGAGTTCGCGATGGAGATTTATCAATGATATTAAAAGTATATGAACAGCAATTGAAGGTTAATAATTTTTTTTTAATTATTTAATTATCTAAGTTTGCTTGCCAAAACTCGGTAAATTTTTTCAGATTCCATAATGCTTGCAGTAAGTCGCAAACTTTTTCAAAAACTTATTAAAATTCTTTATTATTAACTCGTCAAAAGTGAGTTTTGGTAGGCTATATTATTGTTATATATTAATTAATTTATTCACTTTAATCATAAATTAGAATCCTTTTAGATCAATTGTTACGGGTAATCAAACATGAAATTATTTCCTATATTAACATATTACAAATATTTTACGTGAGTAATGACCTTGCATATATATATCATTAATAGGTAATCTTATTAGAACGTTTTCGATTCAAGTACAAAAAACAAAGGTGGATCTAGAAATCGCAATGGCTGCGTTAGATAAGTTATTAAAATCCAACGAATTAAATTTTGCATTCTTGGCTGTTGGACCAAGTCTGTTCATTGTTTATCTAATTTCTACTTGGGTAAAAAATATTGTGTGGAGTAAAGATACTTGGTCAAGTAGAATCAAAGGTGCAAATGTTAAGATGAGAGAATCCTTACTGTATGCATTAGAATGATTATGTATTTTATAATTATATAATATAATATATGAATTAATCTAATCGTCTTCTCAATAGAACCGTAGAACGATTGCTTGTACAAAATTATCGTTCCAACTCGACAAACATTCCATTTGCAACACAAGGTCTTTTAATTTGTCATGTACATCATCTTCGAAGTTACGCGATGTATTTGCCTTCTAGGAATAGTTTACGAGAAAGTGTTTTAGATGATCTTCGAGCATTAGATGATCCAAGATTAACAATTCGGCAAAAAATTTGGGCATGTGGTCGAATCTGGCGTTGTTGGGATTTTTTAAAGTGACGAAGGACTTTCTCTCACGTGATATTAAACTTACTATTTTTTTAAAGTTGTATTCAGAAACTTTATTATTTTGTTCCATTTTAACGACTCCATATAGTCATCGTTATAACTTTATTATAATTAATTTTTTTTCATTTTTTGATGTACTGTATATATTTTAAATGTGAATCTAATTGACTTTCTGAAATATTAAATATACAAATAACAAATCTTGATTAAACAGAAGAAAGAAACATTGAGCTAAACGATATTATTTTTTTTTAAAAAAAAAAAAAATGACTGATTTTTTATTTAATAATAATTTTGATCATAAAAGGTTGAACACCACCAGAAGTACAATTAAGTTTATTTCTTTTACAACAGAAACTAATAAAACGTTTAACCATCTTTTCACCAAATTTAAAATATTTTTTAAACCTAATAAACTAATGTATAAATTTCTAACAATAAATGAAATCTAACAAATATGTGCAAAAGTGCAATTGACAAATTGACAAAAAAAAAAAAAAAGAAAAAAAAAGCAAATAATTTTTATGGTATTGATATTTATAATATTATAGAACTTTACATGAAACAAATATATATATATATATATATAAAGTAAGAATAAGTTGCCTTGGTAGCACGCTCGGCATGCCGAAATGTGCTGGACTTGATATAATAAAAAAAAAAAAAAAAGAAATTTTGAGCAAAAATCCTTATTCTTCGCTTTCCTCCCCTTCCGCTGAGTTGGACATAACTACGTCCCCACTACTGCCTGTTTCGACACCATTCTCCTCACGTGACTGTGCAATAGCAGAAGCGGGAGAACCGACAGTACCATTTCTAACATTTCCGTTTGCTCGAGTTCCTGCTCCACGACGTCGTCCACCGGCGACTCTGTTTTTCATGACCTCGAAGTTTTGCATCACATAATTTTTGCATCTGTGAGCATTTGGCAAGTCTTGTATCATTTTTCTGATAGTGGCTTGCGAAAAACCAAAATAATCAGGTCCAGAAGCTGAATTTGAGTGATCACGTTGACGAATTGCATTTGCTTCACGAACAACCGTCGTCCAGGCGCCAGTCGCCGTATTAGCTATAATTGGTTTGTTTGGCTGATCATCTGCTTCAATAACAAACTATTATAAAAACAAGAATTGCATAAGCTAATAAATTCGGGTGACGTAGGCATAATAAGTCAATAACAAAAAATTATTCTTACTTTAGGGTTTTCGGTGCCATCTTCAATTTTGCAAACGTACATCGTTTGAGCATTCGGATTAATCATACTATTATAGGCCCTATTAAGAAACAAAAAGTAATTAATATACGTTCACTTAAAATATAGATAATGTAATCACGACTATTTACCTCTTGACAGCATATCCAACAGGCCAAATGTATCTTTCGTTGTGAAAAGTATCACGATCATAAACTACTGTTCCGAGATTCAAAACGGTCAATATACCGATTTGAACGGGGAGTTTATAGTTGCCCTTTTCATCTTGCTCAACATGTTGAACCTTCATTGTCTTTGCATTCAATGGACGCTTGCTTGCGCGTTTCTTAGGGACCTTACCAGATGTATGAGTAATAGGGACAGAATTAACAATGTTATTAGCAGGCGTTGGAGGGGAAAGCTTCTTATTAGTAAGACGACCACGTGCTTTTTTGATTTGACGAACGGAAGAAGCTTGAGAAAGTTGTGTGGATGACCCTATTAAATAAATAAATATATTTAAAACATTCAACCAAAGAAAGCATATATAATTGTTCAAATTAACTTACCATCCGAGTCTGATGTAGCATCTGAAGAGAGATCAACAGATTTTTCAGAATCAGAGCTATCAGAATTTTCGTATTGGCTGATTCGATCTAACAGTAATCTTTCAAAAGCAAAGGGAAAAAAAAGATGAAGAGATGAGAGTTTAGATATTTGAAGTTAATGATAATACTAATTCAAATAATCATAAGTAAAACACGCACTCTTTTTCTCTCTTCAAGGATTTGATTCTTTTACGAGATCTCTCAAGTTCTTTCGTTAATTTGTCATACTCCTAATCATATTGAATAACATAAAGGATGCACATAAATATTAGAAAATTAATGAAACAATTTCATGTTATACAAGGTAAGACATGATATCTAGTATAAATATGTTTTTTCGCAACAATAAAAGAGAAAAGGTAATACTATCTCAACTCGATAGTATCATTGATAACTTTCTTTCTAATAATAACAAAAATAATATAACCCTCAAAAGTCGTATCGATAACACCAAAAAGTACAAAGCTCGAAAGGTAATAAAGAGAAAATATGTTTTGAAGTATAGAGTAACTTTATTGTATAGCTTTTAATATTTCTCATGAAAATCCTCGTTATTCGCGATCTAACTATTTATACGAATATATAAAGCTACTTACATTTCGCATATCGCGAACCTTGCGTTTAAGTTTTTGATAGTGTTCTTGAGTGACAGCGCCATTTTCATGTGTAGAAGAAGTATGTCTTCCTCGACCAGAGTGTGGGTGGGAGTATGAATGTGAATGTGATTGGGCCATGTCAACAGCAAAGGTTGTTTGAGAAAGGTAATCGACTGTCAACAAGGAAGAGTTTTTTTGGGGGGGTGTAAGATGTAGTAGTAGGCAGACCTTATTTTATAACAAAACAAGGTTGATTGGGGTTTTAAGTGGTTTATAATAGTATCAATAGTATTTTTATAGTTGTATGTATTTATGGTTGGTGCAGTGTGTATATAGCAGATAGTGCGCCCAACAATCTTCGGGTGTGTAAGGGAACAACGGGACTTAAGAGATGTGAGTAAAGTTTTTTTATCTGTGGGAAGAAAATTTTTTTTTTATGGGGGGTTAAGTCCCAAATGAATTCGATAGATGATTTTTTTTGCAACGCAGACGTAATTCATTTTATGGTAGTATTTATTATATGTTGTGGGGGGTTTGGTTTGGAACAAACTGGACGGACGTTTCGGAAGGCTTGTGTGTGTGCTCTTTTTCCAAGGACAAAAGCCTGCCTCTTTCAAAAGAGAAAATGATTTCATGCTGTCTCCAAACCTTTACTGTTTGCAATTTGATTGGATGAGAAAGTAATGTGCAACGTCACAACATGCAGTTACTTTCCGTATTAAGTCAGAACTCGGTCGGGGTCACCAGTTGCTTAATTTTGAAATTATTGATGTAACAATATATAAAAGAATAATTTAATAAATTAATAATATAAAAATCGAGTACAAACTGTCATACTATAATATAATATCATCATTAACAAATAATATCTTTTTAGATTTTAGATTTCTTTTTTTTCTTTCTTTACTGAGCAGGATCAAAAAAAAAAAAAACTTTTTTTTTTCAATGTAGAATTTGTTGCGCTTTTGAGGCCAAGTAATGTACGACAAATTACAGAAATGACAATTAAACAGATTACATTAAATTTCAAAAAAAAAAAAAAAAAAAAAGTAAAAATAAATGGGGGTTTATTTGAAAATATTTTACTTTGGGGTAATAAAGAATGTTAGAGGAAAAACATTACTTAAAAATTTATTTAAGGAGGAACTAAAAAAAAAAAAATACCACAATTCGGCTTCTGCGAGAAGTATCCCTTTCTAAAAAGTTGGTAAAAAAAGTTTAACTATGCCACATATTTCTAAAAACACCCGAAGTTATTATTATACACAGCCATCTAATACTTTTACTCTCACGTTCTTTCTTTACACTTTTATTTTTGTACATCAATTATCATACAACCTTCACTTTGATGATCTCTCCCTAAATCAGGAAGAAAATCCGGAATTTAGAATTATTTTAAAACAATTTGTCACATTTATTTATATTATGCTATAATATTCGCCTAATCTTTAATCTCTGCCACACCCTTCCGGTTTATCCCACTTTCATTTAGCAATAATAATCTTTTCTCAACGAAACCTGTTCATTTTAAAATAAAACATCCTTATTGTTATCTTTGAATCAATCCTTGTTCAAGTAGGGCGTCCATCGAACGAATAAACCTCTCCTAAATCTGCATACAATAAATAAAGGATTTTTTTTTTAACGACGAATATTTTTTTTACAGAAAAAGGATCGTCGAATTTATCATTTGCAAATGTCACCGTGACTATGTTGATTAAAAAACAATGAACCCTAGCGATGATAAAAAGATTGCTTTTTATGATTACACATCCAAATCCTGGGTTTTTAACGCTTTATTAGGAAAATTATATTGGCAACATAAAAAAAAAAAGATTGAAATGAAAAATGTAAATCTAATCATGTGACATTAATCACATGATGCCGTATCCTCTTATCTATATGGCTCATCGATTTCCATATTATCATTTTTCATATCTTGCAGCCCTCCTGCGACGGTCCCAATCTCCACAATTTTCTCGAGTTCTTTTCTTAAGATTTTTGCCGCATTCATCCAAGTCTCATATTCTTTAGCTTCGCCGTAGGTAACTGTCCTGATTGGAATATCTCCAGAAGTTATTCCCATGTTCCGCATTTGACGAAATTTATAACGTAAATCAACTTGTATTTTCTTAAACGTAAGAAGTGCCAAAATAACATGATTAACTTCGCCTACACAATAAAAAAAAAGAAAGAAAGAAATACTTTGGCAACAGATAATGAATTCCTTCGCTCACATCTATCAATTCACTAAATTGTTTTGTCAAAGCTTGAAAACTCTCAATACGTTGTTCAGGACCAAGTCTATTTGCCATGGTTTCTGTCTTTTCATCGTTATTGTTGGTGTGACCGTCTAATACTAAGCTCATGATTGATTTAGCTGCTGTGTCCATAAGTTCAACAATCATCTATAAAATATAAAGAAGATTATACCATCAAAAATGACATTCTTAAAAAAAATAAATCCATCTATAACTACAAATTCAGAAAGATTTGTAAAATGTGAAAAACTTACTTTTTCGATGCCTTCAAGATCTCGAATATGTTGTGCACTACTTTCCGTATTTTCTAATTTAACTCAAAGATATTCAAGTCATATAGGTTAAAATGGGTTGTTAGTTTTGAAATCCTTTTTAAAGCAACGAGAAACTGCTTTACCATATTGGCTCATGCTGCTCATGCTGATTAATAAGATCCAAGTTTTCTAAATAAATAAAAAGAATGTAAGAGGTTCACGCACTTCTCAAACGAAGCAAGAACGTATTTACAAAACCGAAAACTTTTTTCATCAATGGCTTGTGTAATTTGATATAACTGGGAAGGTACTTCAGCCAATCATTCCAAATTTGGTTTGGTGGAATATTCAAAAAAAGTCTCATGATTTTATCACAAAATACCAAATTTGGTAATTACCCAATCAAATGACGCGACATTATAACAGACACAGACCATTTTTTCGCATGATTTAACTTGAAAATTCCATACATTCTATCGACTGATAAAAAAAATAACGAATGATAAATTAAAAAACATGGCTTCTTCCTTACCGAATCTCTGTCTTCGAAAAATATTTGAATGTATTGAGGAGGATAAACCTTCTTTACACTCGTGTCTTTTGGTTAACCGCCACTGGTGCCAGGAAGTCGTACCGATCTTATGGAGAAGTCCAAATGCATACATGTCTAAACAATTAGTCGAAGTATATATAGCTTGTTTAAGTGAGGAAGAGAAAAAAATACTTAATGATAACGGTCTAAACCTTCCCCTTTCTACCGAGACACCTCCAACATTCGATTATGCTAAATATCGGCGTGTGCTTCACATTGGCGGTTTATATCACCACTTATGGTGGTGGTGTAACCTTCGAAGAGACGAATGTATAGGTGCAGAAGGACGTTGGATACTAACGGAATTGCTTCTAAAACTTTTTATAAGTCGTTGTCCCGCAATATATCGATTTTCTTGTGATGCTACTTGCTTACTAGAGAAATATGATATTACATCTTATCCTGGGGCCGAATCTTGTTTACCGCACATTCGACGATTAACTCTTACCGGGAAAAGGTTACGTAAATATTTTGAGAAATTTTCCATCTGTCATGGAATATGTCAATTAAAGACATATCTACCTATATATGAATGGGATACCGAAAAGCAATGTAGAGATATTGAAAAGTTTGAAGCTGAAGCGGAAGGGTTGGTCGATTTCATTCAAGCCCAAAATAATTTGCAAGATTTAGAACTTCATGGAGATTATTATGGTCATGATACTGGTGGCAGAATCATTCAAGCTTTGGAAAGTCAAGCAAAGTCATTGGTGCGATTAAAATTAAGTTACGTTCGTTTTGAAGGTCATCCACCATTTTATGGAATCGGTGCTTGCAAGAATTTGGAAATATTGGAATTTGATGGTTGTGATGGATTAACAAATGAAATGTGTGCTCCGTTGATAACTTCTTCATTGCCTCGATTATCGCAGCTTAATATATCAAATTCTGATATTCCTGTTGACATCGTGTCGACGTTGGCGAGTAATGCAAACACAAGTTTACTTGAAGTTACTTTGTGTTCTACGCAAAGTTCTGAGTATTTAGTGCAAGTTATTGAAGCCCTTGTAAGTCATTGCCCGAATATTACCAAATTTGAATCAAATCAAATTCATGGTACCGAAGAGGTATCTGCGATCTGTTCACTTTTGAGCAATTCGCAGCAACTTGAAAGCTTATCTATATACGGAGCTAGCTTGGACGCCGAAAAATTCTTACCTGCGATAGGTCAATCAATACCTAATAGTCTTCGGAGACTTTGTATTTCATCTGAATGGCAGTTTACAACAACTGCTTTTGAATCATTTTTGGGACATTGTAAAGCACCATTGACCTGGCTAACGCTATCTGGATGTGAATGTATCACCGACGAATATCTGGAGCTTGTTGTACAATATTTGGGAAAAACGTTACAATATCTTGGTGTATATCGTGCAGTATATACCAGGATGGAATCTTTTGAAAGAGTTAGGAAGGTTATACCCGAGGTCAATGCACCTGAAGAGGGCCATTTAAGATTTTATCAAAGACGTTGTCAACGCGACGATTGACAAAAATGATATAAGGTTCGTTATCAATATGAGCTTTTTTTTTCCTTAATAGGAAGATTTTGATGACTAAATTCCGACTTTGTAACCCAATGATTCGAAATATGAATAGGGTAACAAGGGTTCGGATATTATCATGAACTTTTATTAGTCATGTTAAGGAAATTGACCCTACTCAATAGGTTGACAATTAAATCGACCATATTTCTCGAGATGCGAGAGAGCCCTGACATATTTAACAAACATCACATTCATTATAAGAATATCGGGACGGCGTTAATGATTATAAGAACCTTTGACACGTATCTAAAAAAAAAACGTGATGGTATCGATGATTATTGATCTTCATTGTTGTGAATTACTTTAATCGACTTACTTATATATGTACACAATTACTTGTTCTTTTTTTTTTAATTTCCCCTATCTATATCACAGCATATTATTGCTTCTTTTATTTGTTTATTGATCGTTGTATCATTGTACCATTACCTCGTTTTAATGTTTAATGTTTTATTAGTTTCTAAATAAATGCTTTTTTTTCTTTTTTATTCTTAAGCAAGTATGAGTCTAGAGAATTATACAATAGATTAATCATCCACACCACTCGTATCTATACGGAATAGGAATAGCAGACAATTTTATTTCATAGGATTCGTTTTTGGAATTTTTTTTGATCACGATTACAACATTATTTCTTACAGTCTTTATTTAATTGCTTCGAATATCAATTTATGGTATCTCGTTTACTCTTTATTCTGTTGCTGTAGCAATCAATTTAAGAAAATTTTTTATACCTGCGAATAATAGTGAAATTAATTTGGGTTCATAACAAGCATTTATCTTAAAAAATCAACAGTTCAACATTTTGATTATTCACGTTCAAAATTTTTATATTTTGGAAATTTAAGGTCGTCACGAGCAAATTAGTAAACCCTTTGCCATTGGACTTACTATAATAATGAGGAGGTATGTGATAAAGTTAAATAGAAGGTATGATCTTCTGCGTTTGATTTTCAAAAGAGCAAAATATGATTGTAATTAATTTCTTGTATAAAATAAAATAAAAAAAAGTTTTTGTAAATAAATAATAATAATACCGTATATTGATCAGAGATGTAACCTTATTTATCTCTAAAACTTTTGATTGGCTGATAAAAAATATAACAAAAAATTTTGGTTTTTTTTTAATCGGGTCACCTCAATCTTTTTTACTTTTTCAATTTCTTCACTTTCATTCTCTTTGTATACTATATTATATATATACATATATTTTTTTTTTAAAGGATCAGAAACTTCATTGTCTTAATTTGTTAGAAACGATGAGTAGAGCTAGAGGTGGAGGACGTCGTGGTTTTGGTGGAAGAAGTGGGTCGGGATTTGGTCGACCGAATTTCTCAAGTGAATTACAAGCCTTATTACATCAAACTCTTTCAAACGATACATCAGCTGTATTTCACCATATACTTTTCAACCAAAATAGCTCTTTTTAATTAACTTTATCATTTGAAGTTAAAATCTCAAATTCGATATTGTATAGGGAATTGAATTTCAAGAACCAATACCACCTTCTGAAGATGAACATAAAATGCTTAATGCATTATTTGGATATAAAGCAGCACTCAAAGATTCTGCTTTTTTTATAATCCCATCACCACCGTCATCTGGTATGAAGCTGTTCTAAAAATCAAATGTTTTGTTTATAAATATTATAAATAAATAATTATTTTTTATTATTTTCTTTTATTTTAAAGATATTCAACGATATTCTGATCAATTCAAAAAAAAGAAAACTCAACATTCATTGCGAGATATTAAGACAGGTTTGTGTCCTTGCAATTTATGAATGATATTTAAATTATTATATAATGGAAAAGTTGACCATTACACGTAGATTTGGCATTCTACCCACATGAATTACATACGGTTAAAGATGATTCAATAATAGCAACAGTTTCTACTAATGGTATTATAAATTCATCAACAAAAGTATTTGATTGTTTATTATTTACTTATTTACATTATTTTTTTTTTTTTTACTTTACAGAAATTCAAAGGAAAATTCATTTTGATTTTGATTTGACATTTGGACAATTGTTAGAACAAGAAAGTAAAGAAAAGGCTAAAAATGTTGAGGTATTTGTAGATTCGGAATTTCTGCTTATTTTAAATACCAGGCTATGATTTTAATACATGAATTATATAGCAAGTCGTTGAAAATGAAATAGAAAAATTTGCCGAGATAGAACCATTTCAGGAAGACGAAGAATATGGGGATGCTACAGATTATGTCGAAAGTTACTTTGATAATGGAGAAGCAGATGATGCATTCGAAGACGATGGTAACAATTTTTTTTTTGATGGAAATTTTTTTTTTGTTAGATATATATCTAATACAATATATAATTCTAAAAATTCAGGTGGTGGCGGAGAGGCGTATTTTGATTAAATTTTGGATTGCAGAAAAAATAATAAGAATAATTGAATCTCAAATAAAATAAAAAAAACTTGGATAAGTTTTATATAAAATAAAAATTTTCAATATGCAAATTTCGTATGATAGATGATTTGTTTAATTATTGCATCAAATAATAAATATACATCACGATGAATGAATGAAAAATGAAAGTTTATCGATTAAACATCCCCATGATTGTTGAAAACAATATTAATATTGGTATTAATATTGGTATTGGCATTGACATTGGCATTGGCATTGGTGATATTGGTAGTGGTAGTGGCAGTATTTTCTAAAACAAAATCTTCAAAAGAATTAACGCTAGAATTGTCTCGATTCGATATAATAAATAAATCCCTGGGAAAGAATTTCGACTTGACGAAATTTAAAAAGAATTTAGGTGGAGGAATGGAAACATTTAATATGAACAAAGTCCTATGAATATAATCGACTGAATTTGATAATGGGGTATAAAAAATTCTAGGGCCTTTTATCGTATTTAATATACAAAATATGAAATAAGAGATAGCGATCAAACCAGACGTTGTCATATACCACCAGCCTACTAAAATGTTTTGTGGATTGATTGAAGGTGAATTATGAGAATTGGTTGAATTATTGAATAGGATTTGTAATCGAATTATCGGTTTGAATGTATATAGAAACGAGCACGCGGTTAGGATTGCTCCTAACGTCAATGATATTAATACAGTGATATAACTCATCCCATGTGGTGCTCTCGAGTATTTGATTTCATCACTATTTAGGATTAATAAAGTTACTTGGATGATTAATACCATCGTATATAACACGCATCCTATTATCGTTATGGTGTATAACGGTGTTTTCCATTTGTTGTCCGGATAGAATTTTTTTCCCAAATCGAGAAAACACCATACCACTTTAGACATCGATTGAGGCGCAGCAACGAGATTCGGTGGCGAAGCAAAGGTTTTAAAATCAAATTTTTTTTTTTGAAAAAAAAAGCATCATAAGGTAAAATGAAAGTATAACCTACCTAAAATAAGGTATACCATTGAAAAAATCAAATAAATCATATAGTAAAAGATGGGCTCACTCACGCAACCTACATGTAACCATATTAAATTTATAACCGATACCAAAGTGGTTGACATGCAAATGATCCAACTATGAAAGAATGAAAAGAAAAGTCAACCAGTAAAAAAAAGGGGAGGGGGGAATTATAAAAAATGAAAGCGAGATTGAGAAAGATAACTCACAAAAATATCCTTAATTGCGTTAATTTATTATATACATGATACCCAATAACTAACACGCCTATAATGGATATTACGATAGCTATTATGGGAAAGGTACTTCCAACATCGCATTTTACTGCAATATCCATCGTAACGTCAACCGGTTTATGGATGGTGTTTTTCAGTGTTAGTAACAAAAGTTGATTTTAGAAAAGTATTAAAAGAATGATTGTGGTTTTTTCCTTTCAAATGGAATGTGTATATACTTCTTTTTGTAAATAAAAATCAAAGGTTAACTTTTTTTTTTTGTAAAAATAATTACAAAAAAAAAGAGTCTGATCTTTTTTTTTTAAAAAAAAAAAACATTTTGATATATATGGAATTCACATCTTTTTAGGTATTAATTATTAAAATCAGAATAATTATTTATAAAAGAAAAATGTCAAATTAAACCTAAAATTCGTATGTTAGAATTGCCTAGACGAGCCAAAGAACCTTTTTTTATTTTGATAGAAGATTCGATTTTTCTTATAATGAGAATACGTGTATCAAAATAAAAGACTCCCCCCTTTACGTGCGGTATATTGCCCCCCCATTTTTGGAAATAAGAAATTAGCGTTGTTATACAGAATTCTAATATTGTTTCAAGATTTTCCTACGATTTAGGTAAAAGATCATTCATTTTTCTTTTATAGAGATTCATCAATCCTTACCCTTCTATGAAATGGAAAGAGGGTATGTCAGCTGATGATTCTGTCGTGCGATTGGTATCAATTTGTCCTATTCGACGACACGGCATAATTAATCTACATTCACATTTAAAAAAAAGGAGATCTATACAACTAATATTTTTTTTTTCTCGTTTTGCCCGAGAAAAGGATAGGATGATTGGTTAAAATGGATATCAATTGTAAGAATTAATTTTCAAAAAAATCATATTTATGTATCAAATAATCTCCAATCAAATAAAATAATGTCAATAATATCAAAGGTAAAGAATATGACAAAATGTTTGGTGACTGCGTCACTTGATCATTATTTAGGAATTTCTCGTGAATGTCATAATTTAAGGAAAATCAGGGTCCGTGACTGTGATTTTCCTCCTTAAAATTGATTCATCTTTAAAGAAATGTGAACCTTTTTTTTTTTTTTTTCGGAAAAACTCAATTTTTTCAACTGAACAAATTTCTTTCAACAAGGAAAAAAAGGAGATAATTAATAATAAGACAAATGTTCTTAAAACATAAACAAAAACAAAAACAAAGGATTACTGTGAGAATATGATCATGGATTTGATTAGATATTCCTGACATCATTTAATAAATCATCGTAAGTTCATAACTCGAAGATGAAAAAGCATCAAAAAATTTTTTTTTAAATTTGATTAACTTCATATGATGGAATATTACCAAATTCACATTCAAAAACAATGACATCAATTGAGTCAATTAGCATCAAATTTGTTTATATATTGAATTTTATTGTTTCTTGTCCTTCCTTTATATGACTTCTTTCGAATTTATCTCGCATCATTTCAAAATGTGTCATGGTATTAGAAAAATAAATTTCGTATTAGAAAAAAAATAAAAATAAATAAAAAACATGAGCTAACACTTTCTTTTCCTTAAAAAAATAAAGCTACCCTTGAACAAACGACTTGTAGTGCTCCTGAATGCAATCGTCCAATTTATGTTGAAAGAAACGGGTATAAATCTCAATAACTATTAAGAAAATTTTCTTGCGAATTTTTCATAAACTTTGTTTTATTATTTAGAACACGCCATCCATTCTGTGGACGTACTTGCGCAAGCCAATACGGTGGTTATACGTACAAAAATGATCCTTTTATTTCACGCGCGGAAATTTGTCGACGCGCCGGTTGCAACAACTCTACATTCGTTGAAGCAAATGGCAGAGTTCACCCTTATTGTGGGCGAACTTGTGCACATCATGATACTGCTTCTCGAATGAATTCTCGTCCTTTGACCGCTTTCAATGATCTGGATCTTACGAATGGATTTGATCCACCTCCCGCTTATTTACCCTTTTCCAATAATAATAATAATAATAATGTTAGATACTTTCCTAATTCGTCATGTAATTCATCTGCTTCAAACCTCTCCTCTAATTCGACTATCGTATCTCCCGATTCTTCTGAGGATTACGTCGATGTTCAAAATGAATTATTCACGTGATTGTCCATTTTTGTTGAATTTTGATTGTTTCTAAACAATTTTCGGCAATACTTTTTTGAAATAATAAAAGTTCGTTTTACTGAAACAAATGTTCATTTCGTAAAATAAAGTAAAATCTGTTTGCAATATGTTCATATTCCAAAAGATCATTGTTCATTCATTATTACATTGGATTTTATTAATTAAATAATGAAACAAAATATGTATCGTCAATTATATCATATTTATTCTCCAAATATTTGAATCGCTATCAAATGTTGAGAATTATTCCGGACAAAAGAAGCGCCACAAATATATGACAGAATCATATATTCATCCGTGTATCACTTACTTTGTGTGAGAAAACAAAACAACCCAATTTCAATTATTTACATACAACAAAAACATTTAATCATTCCAATACTCAGATGAAATAGTTTATACGTTAATTTGTGAGTATCATATGCTGATTGACCTCACAATTAGTTAATCTTTACGAGACAATTAAATTATTTTTTTTCCCTTTCAGAGTATTTATTTATAAATTGATTTTCTTTTTTTTCTTTTGTATAATTATCATAATTGTTTCGAAATAAATAATTTTTAAGAGCTTCTCATCTACGTAAATAAAATAAAAAAAAATTCCTTTGAGAAGTTTAATACTTGACATTTACCATGTCCCAAATTTGCTTGCGAACTGGATGTAGCAAGCCAGTGTACATTGAAACAAATGGACTTGCACATCCCTACTGTGGAAAAACATGCGCCTCTTTCGAAATTAACAAATCGGGGTGTATCAAACGTTGTAAGAATCCAAGTTGTTCACGACAAAATTATGTTGATCTAGCCGGATTTCAATATGATTATTGTGGGAAAACTTGTGCGAGACAATTTCTTAATTCCGAGGCACCTTATTGTATTCGATCAAATTGTCCAAGACGCGCTTATACAGATCCTCAAGACAAAAAGAAATTTCATTCTTATTGTTCTCCATCCTGTTACTGGTTAGAATGTTCAACATTAACCAAAACTAAATTGAGCTTATTAAAAGCAAATGACTTGGATTTCATCGCCGCTCATCAAAGATTTATTTCAATGTTACCTCAAGTTAATATTAAAGCGATTTTTAGGCTTCAAATGCCCAAGCCTTTGGTTGATGCTCATCAAAATCTAAAGAACCAACTTGCCAAGCAACATAATTTACCTTTAAACCTAGTCACTCATAAAATGTTTCATGGTACTAAGGCTAATTGTGATCCTTTACAATATCTCAGTCGCCTTTCACCATTATGTTCGAATGGTTGTGGATTGTGTGGAATCGTTACTCAAGGAAATAATACTGCTTATTCAAGAAATAGTGGTCAAATGTGGTTCGCAAACCATGCTTCAACTTCTGCAGGATATTGCAGCGGTGGATCCGTAAATGTTATTTTTATGGTTGATGTTTTGGCACCATCTGCAAATTCTATATTGATTGTAGGTCAAAATGCGGTAATAGACTTTTCTTTTTACGAAATTTTTTTTTTTTTTTTTTTTTTTTTTTTTCACAATGAATTTTATTTATCTTTCAGGCCACTCTGCCGCGATTTCTTATTTTATACAGATAAAATGTTGTAAGAGGGAATTATTCTTTTTTTTTCCTCTCCCTCTTGAATCTTAAAATCTTAGTGTATATTTTCCTTAAAATAAAGTATAATTTTATAAACAAGTTTTCGATGCTGCACGATTTTTAAATTGGGATCATAATAACATAATACGATATGTCGTAACTGTGTAACAATCAATAGTTACACATTTTTGAACATATAAATTCCTTTTTAAAGCCGTCATTTTGCCATTTAGTCATTTAGTCATTGTTGTCTTGACTTTCTTTTTTTTCCAAAATTAAAGAAAACAAAAATGCCGACAATTTCACAAAATTGTGCACGTATTGGATGTAATAAATCAATATACATCGAAGCAGGTGGTTACAAACATCCTTACTGTGGAAGAACATGTGCCACTAACACTCTCCCCAAATCGAGGGCATGCTCTAATCCAAACTGTACAAGACAAAAGTATATAGGTCCGAATAATGTTCAATATGACTTTTGTGGAAGAAGTTGCGCAAGACAGCATCTTAACTCAAATGTACCTTCTGCACCTACTTGTTCTCGAACAAGCTGTCCTAAACGCGTCTATACGGATCCTCAAAATAAGACCAAATTTCATGCTTTTTGCTCTCAAAGCTGTTATTGGTTAGAATGTTCAACATTAACCAATACTAAGTTAAGCTTATTAAACGTAAATGATTTAGATTACAATTGGGCTCATCAACGATTTAATTCCATGTTACCTACAGCAAATATTAAAGGAATCTTTCGTCTTCAAATGCCCAAGAGATTGGTTGATGCTCATCAAAATCTTAAGAAACAAATTGCTACGCAAAAAAATGTGCCGTTGAATATGGTTACTCATAAAATGTTTCATGGCACTAAAACTTCTTGTGATCCTCTTCAATATATTAACCGTTCTAAACCAATTTGTTCAAGTGGTTGTGGATTATGTGGAATTATTTCTAACGGTAATGATTCTGCCTTCTCAAATTATAACGGACAAATGTGGTTCGCCAATAATGCTTCAATTTCTTTGGGATATTGCACCAATGGAGCGACTACCAAGGCTATTTTTATGGTAGATGTAGTGTCAGCAGCTCCCAATTCTATATTGATTGTTAGTCAAAATGCGGTAAGTTTCGTTTATTAAAGTGATCTTTCTTTCTTTTTTTAAAAAAAGAAAAAAAAAATCATTTTATTTTATTTCAGGCTACTCTGCCACGTTTTCTGGTCGTGTTTCAATAAGGATTGTGTATTTAAGGAGAATTATACATCATCTCTTTTTTATCATATATATAGTTTTCTTTATATGGCTTTCTTTACAAATATATATATATATATACATATACATAGAATATATAGTTTTTTTTTTTAAAGTGGGTTGGGATTTGCTTAAAACTTGTGTAGTTGCAACCTTTTTTTAACCAAATTTTTTTTTATTTGTCAATTTACGTTTAATCAAGGTGTAATCAAGGTGTAATCATTGCTTCATAGGTTTAACATGACATGAATAAAAAAATATATAGAAAAAAAAAATACTTGGCGTATTTGATCCTATCGTTTTTTTCCCTTGTTTTTTTTTCGTGATAATAATACAATTATTAATTTTTAAGCTTTCGCCACGGCCAAACGCGTATATCATTGGTAGTATGCGCATCTATATTTAGCCCGTCTTTACGGAATTATGCCTGACAAAAAAATTGGTGTTACTCTATCCTTTTAAATGGTAAATAATTTTCTAATGTAAAATTTATATAATAATATTTATTTATTATAAATTTTATAAATATATTAATATTTAGAAAGACCTTATTTATATTTTTTGAATATTTATTTAAAAAAGTTGTAATTTATGAAATTATAAAATGGCTAAAAAATCATTATCATAGTATCATAGAAAAACAGTTACAGTCAAAGCTCGTTATAGTGAATTCCGTTATAGTGAATTTGGCTTATAGTGAACTTTTTTTATTTTCCCAATTCACTTTATAATAAATTTATTCGATATAGTAAATCTCTTAATAAAATCTCGATATTGGATATAGTGACTTTTCAAAATATTGAATACTAGCAATTCTACCCGGGCGATGCCCCGGAAAAATTGATTTTACTTTTATATGCCAAATATGATTTTTAGGCTGAAATATGTTCAAATTTAGCATTAACTCATTTTTGATTTTT